TTTATTTCCTGTTTGGTGGTTATGGTAATTCCCCATACTGCCCCTTCGAATACCCTAAAGGTTTACCATTATTTTAGGCTGTACAAGCTGGCCTTTCAAAAAGCCTGATTTTTCGAGGCATAGTCTAACAGTTTATGCATGGAATAGACACACTACGAGTTGAAGAATCTACAAAAGAAAGGCTCACCCTTAGAGATAGATATTGGCAGAAGTCAAAGACCTGGCTCATTTCATAAGCATTGCCCGTCAAACACAGTAACCTCTTAGCACAAATGAACTGGGACCAGGTGGTGTGGTGTGTGGCCATGAGCAAATGTATCTTTTGATAGGTAAACCACAGATATGTTTTTCTAAACAATTAATTCTTTTTAGTGTTTCTAAATGTGTTTTCCTGTCAGCACTGCTGGTAGAGTATGCATGGAGTACCATTAATTATCATGTATAACATGTATAACTCCCTCTTGCTGCCGAGCTCCCATGTAAATACCCACATGGTTTTTTGCTGCTATGGGACTGTCACAGCAGATGCTTCTGCTTTTTTCTATTGCTGTAAACAAGCTGTTGTGACTGATACTTCTTTTCACCATATGTCCTGAACACTCCCAGTTCATAGTTATATGTCATTTCAGGATGCTTTGTAGGGTGTGTATGCCTCCACCCCATTTCAAAATCAATGGAAGTCTCAATGGATTGACTAATGACTGCAAGGTGTTACTTGGCATGCTGGTTTTGGCTGACAGTGCTACTAAATGAACAGTTGTTTGCTTAATGTGTCTTTAATGGTTCCCTCGTGAAGTAACTTCTACTAAGAAATTGAACATGCTTCAGATTTGCTACTGAGCATCTATCTGGCATGTGCTGAGACCAAAACGAAGTATGGCCCCAATATGTTGCCCTGATGATTGGTAATTTTGTTCTGTCCCTTAGCCATATCCTAAATTTGTATTGTCCTCATACATTTTGGTATGCTTATCATCACCAGATCCATCATTAATCTGTAGAGTAGGAATGGGTGGTGAGAATTGAAGAAAACTGGAATATACCTTTAAGGGTGTTGTGCTGATGCAGTGTATAGGCTGTTGCAATTCAGTCCCACCAGTCCTAGGTCCTCTAGGACTGATGTCACATTTTCTTTCATTAGCTTTCATTTATGTTGTCGTGTTAGACCATGCTCAATTCTCTTCATGGAACAGAATACGCAGAAACCAAATTGCTTGTGCACAGCAAACATATTTACTTGTTATTAGTGTGGGTGGACATGCCTTATTATTCACTTGTGACATGTTGACCTTCCAGAAGGTTTACCTGGCATAGTGTACCTGTAATAGCATACATGATGGTAGAGTATTGAGTGTGGTCAGGAATGGTGTCTCTACTAATCATTTTAATAAAAGCAATTGTCTGGAGGTGAACAGAAACTGAATTTAAATTGGAAACATGAAAGATGTTAAACTACAGGAAAGAGCATTCTTTGAGCATCTTTTTGTCTGACTTTAGTTTTCTGTACTAGAAGGTTATCTGAGCTTATGTCATATGTGCTGTATTGCCCGACTAGCCTCACAATGCCATGTATTGCTATTGGGAATATAGCTGGTATGAAAGACTTCTTTTTTTCTTGGTAACTCATGGAATCACTCATGTTGCCTTTAGCAAATGGCATGCTAGCTCTTCCTTTGTCAGATATATGGCAGCAAGCTGTATGATAGTTCCGTAGACAAGGAAGGGTTTTATATAATGGTTCTCTTGAGGTTGGTACAGATGTTGACATGCACATTCTTGCAGTTGCACAGTGACGGGGCAAAGCGTGTTCGTGTGTGTATAATGCAGCTTCTCAAACTTGCTAACATGACAGTGTAAGTTACAGTCCCTTCTCTTTCTGCTCATATATGTAAAGTCCTTTAATTCTGGAAGTTGGAGTAGAGGGAACTACTGAACTAACATTGGCTGTGCCTTCTCCTCACCTCTCACACCGAGGGTATGATTGAAGATGCTTTGTTGGTGAATTTCTGTACTCCAATCTTCCATGAGTCAAGAAAAAGATAAAAAGAGCCTGATGTAACTGTACCAATGTGTAGCATAGTCCCTGTGGAGATGAAAAGATTGTTGGCATTGTCTTTGCTACAGATGGATGTCTGTGATGAATGTCCACATCGTTTCTTTTACTCCTCGTGTGAGTATCAGCAACTTAGAAGCACTTTGGTTTGTTGAGGTTTTTCAGTATGCACAGGTGGATCTTCTATATGGTATCTGGCCATAGTGCTCTCATTCATGTTGAGGGCAGGTCCTCATGACAGGTGGTTATTTGGGCTGTGCTTGTGAGTGTGGTCCTCTGTTTGTATGTTATTATTATGTTAAAGAGAGAATGTCTGTAAAAGCAGCCTGATGAAGTTGTTGCATGAAGGAGGATGTTTGCACTACACGTTGTCCGTATCAAATCATTATTGTATAATGTGTTGGATTTTAAATCTATTTAGATATAGTAACTGCTTTCTTGATCACTCGATGGCCAGTTTTCTTCTCCAGCTGAGTACTGAACAATGCTGGGTTTGGTTGTGATAGGCCTTCTTTTGCACCACTTTGCCATGATGCTGACACATTGTTGTGGTTTAGCCCCAGACAGCAACTAATCCCCACACAGCCACTTGGTCACTCCTCTGCAGCAGGATGGGGGAGAGAATCCAAAAAAGTAAAAATTACTAAACTCATGGGTTGAGATAAAGGCAGTTTAACAGGTAAAGCAAAAGCCACGCACAGAAGCAAGGCAACACAGGAATGAATTCACTGCATCCCATTGCAGTTCAGCCCATTTCCAGGACAGCAGGGCTCCATCATGTGTAATGGTTACTTGGGAAGACAAACACCATCACTGTGAATGTCCCTCCCTTCCTTTTCTTCCCCCAGCTCTATATGCTGTGGATTATGGTGTGGAATATCCCTTGGGTCAGTTGGGGTCATCTGTCCCGGCTGTGTCCCCTCCTAACTCCTTGTGCACCCCCAGCCTGCTCACTGCTGGGATGTGTGGGGAGCAGAAAAGGCCTCTGTGTAATGGTTACTTGGGAAGACAAACACCATCACTGTGAATGTCCCTCCCTTCCTTTTCTTCCCCCAGCTCTATATGCTGTGGATTATGGTGTGGAATATCCCTTGGGTCAGTTGGGGTCATCTGTCCCGGCTGTGTCCCCTCCTAACTCCTTGTGCACCCCCAGCCTGCTCACTGCTGGGATGTGTGGGGAGCAGAAAAGGCCTCTGCTCTGTGTAAACGCTGCTCAGCAGTGACTAAAACATCTCAGTGTTACCAACACTGTTTCCAGCACAAATCCAAAACACAGCCCCATACCAGCTACTATGGAGAGAAGTAACTCTACCCAGCCAAAATCAGCACACAGAGGCAACATGTGAGTACGTGTGATTGCCCCATTGCCCTGAGCACAGAATGCTATTATTTCCTGTGCTCCTTTTGTCAAGTTTTTTAGGGTAAGGACTGTATGCTACTGCTTGGCTTTATGCAGCAGTGTCAGCATCTGTGCTGTTGGTCTTCAGAGTCACTGTACTCCTTTGGAACCAAGGTATTCCTGAATCTTTCCCATTGACAGTTGGATGTTGTTGTGGTAGGTGATCTTTTATCTCCAGGTGCCTTTGAAAACTACATGCTATCACCTGCAGCACATGCTTTTTTCTTACTCCTTGCCACAACTTGTGTCTGCCTGAAGTAAGTGTGCCAAACTGGCTTTACTCTTGGAAGAAATAATAGTTCTATGGGTTGCTTTGCTTGGATTAAAAGGAAAGCAAAGTTTTCTTGGGTACATAGCATTTTACATATCTGAAAAGTCAATTTTTACATGAATATTTATTATTTCTTTGGCTACTGAAATAGGATATATTCTGTAGGATTTCCAAGGTCTCTGTAAACTCTGGAACCTGTAAGTGATTTGATGACGTGGACCATTTTTGTCTCTGTAGGCTCTTTTCCTGTCTTTCACAATGAACAGTACCATGGTCTGGTGAGGGGCAGAACTGAATGTGTGCTGCAGGGGAAGAGTGGCTCAGCAGAAATGCTGCTTACCTCCTTTTTTTCAGAATGTCATGTTTCGCCATATGTTTGGGATACAAATAGCTTTTGTCTGATTCGGGAAATGCTTAGCATTAAGAAGTTGACAGATGTCCACCTTCTTTCAGAGTCTGTGCTGTTGTTGATCATCATTGCATAGCACAGTCCCCACCACCTGTAAGTTAGTTCTTACAAAGACCTGTCAAAGGTACAATTCCCTAGAATTTCATGTTGGGAAGGAAAGACGATAATTGTTGTTTTCTGGGGGTTCACAAAGTGGTTTCTGCATTCTCGGAATATCTTAATATCGCCTACGTGATTGACTTCCCTTTTATTTCTAGTCATTTGTTCTTCAGATTATTTCAGATGCAATTGCTGTAAGCAAAAGCTTTTCAGGAAACTGTTTTTGCCTGCCTGTATGGCACAATGCTTCTTGTTCACGCAGCTCAAATTAATTGAGGTGGTTTCCTTTTACATTAGCTATCTGTACTGCTTTTGCTGCTGCTCTCATTGAATCATAGGATGGTTTGGGTTGGAAAGAACCTTAAGATCATCTAGTTCCAACCCCCTGCCATGGGCAGGGATGCCTCACACTAGACCATGTTGCCCAAGGCTCTGTCCAACCCGGCCTTGAACACTGCCAGCGATGGAGCATTTACCACTTCTTTGGGCAGCCCATTCCAGTGCCTCACCACCCTCACAATAAAGAACTTCTTCCTTAGATCTAACCCAGACTTCCCCGGTTTTAGTTATCACACTAGTCACGCAGGTAGATTATAAACTTCTAGAAAGCTGATTCAAAAATGGGGAGAGAGTGGAGGTTTTTAGGGAACTTTTTAAAAATTATTTCTGTTTTTCAGTCATCTCACTTTTTGGACACAGTTGTATTCTTTGGTTTCATTCACATTCAGTGTTATGCTGGTTCTTGTTAACGTGTTGACCTTTCGTACTCATGGATGTAAATTTGACTGCGGGGTTCAGTTTTGCCTGTTGTTAGTGTGAGAAATAACCTGTACACGGTAACTGAGTTAAATGACACTGAGAAGTTAATCTCTACATGTCATAGTTACTTTTGCTGAAACGAATATTTACCTGGAGGTTATGGTTTCAGAGCAGGAAATCTAACTGTAGACAAAAGAAACTGAGATTATGTTCATGACTTTTTACTTGATGTCTTCTGCTTTGTATTCAAATACGTTATAATGAATATAACATTTCTTATTCCTTACAGATAAAACGAGAAAAACCAGAAAATATACCAGATTTAAAATCTTTAGTACAAGAAAAATTTGCTGCAATGGAGAGCAAGAACAGTGACTCAGATTTGCAAAAGAATGAAAAATATGTGTATTTTAAGGATCAACTTAAAGAGATGAGAAAACAATGTAAGTTTTATCTTTTAAAAACTATAGATTCTTTGAATGCTAAATGGTAAAATATGACTAACTGCCCTATAGAGCTGCCAGTTATGGCTCAAACTGAGGTGGGTGTTCATATTTAAGAACTTATTTAAATTGCTATCTGTGCAGAAGAAAGCTAGTGTAGTTTTGGTAGTTTTATTTAGACTCCCACAGCTCCTGCCATATCTGAATACAAATATCCTGAAAATGTTGCTTCACATCTTTTTCTCTGGAAGGTGGGCTTTTTCATTTGAAGACTTTCTCATTAGTTTTATTCTTAGTTGATAGGATCTTCTAAAAAGATTAGGTAAGCTGTTTTCATTTGTCACTTGAACAAATTGCTCTTGTTTCACAACTTAGGATGTGTTGCAACTCTAAGAAGACCTTTGCTTTAATCGTAGAACTGTATTGTTGGAAAATGCTTACTGTGTGTGTTCTCAGGTTTACAGCTTCTATGCACGCACCATGTAACACTGCAATTTATTACAGTCTGGTTTTCTTAATTCATGTGATTTATCAAGTGTTAAATTATGAAGTTATTCGTGCTTGAATTACCAGGAAAGTTGGAGAGTGAACAGTTCTAGTATTTATGCAACACAAAACTCTATGCTTTTACTGCTCTGCATATTATAGCAGCCATTAAAATAGCTCTCTGATTACTGTTGCTGGGAAAGTTCATAGGCTCTAACACTATTTGTGCTGTTCTTTCCCAGTCGTGATCATGTTTTGAAATCATATTATTCTGCTTGCTGTCCCTTGACCCCTGTACCTATTCCCTCCCACCCTACATTTTGATTTCAACATAAACTGATATCTCAGGAAGCTCAGGAGTTATAGATTAATGATTTATGCCATTAGAAAATGACACTCTGGATGCTTTCCTGTAGCTCTTCTTGAGCTTTGTTTTTTTGGAGCCCTATCCAAACCCCACTGAAACTAGCGGAAAGAATTTTCCCGCTGACTTCACTGGACTTTGGATTACTTCGCTGTTCCCTGTAGAGATTTATGAAGTGTGAAGACATGTTAGACAAGGTGAATTTTAGATCTGATATCTCAAGACTCCCTAGGATTAGAGCTTGAGGGCTTTATATATTTGTTTCCCATCTTTATGGTTTCTAAGATTTTGGATTTGAGTATTAGCATTGATCTCTGAGTTTAACAGAGCTCTTGGCACTACTCTTAAGAATGAACATACCCAGTTGCAGACCACAAAATAGTGTAATTTTCACTCCCTCCATAACCATAAAATTATTACTGCCCCACCATTATGTTGTAATTCCTAATTTCCAGGTGTTTGTAACTGAGAAGATAAAATCTTGATAACTGACTTTGGATTTACTTTCCACCCTGTAATTGCCTGAGGAAGGGGTGTATGCCCTAGTACTACATTCAGCTCAGACTATGGGACTGAGTTCTAACTGGAATACCTGTTGATAAAAACTCCAAATCAAATAAGCACAGTAAGAGTTATTCTTAAAAAAAATATATACAAGGACATCGTCCTGCTACTACTGCCTGAAACCCAGGTATGTCTTATTAGCCCCTTGGACTTCTGTTTTAGTTGTGCACAGAGGTCAGACTGCCCAAAATGAAATGCATGATGATGTTGGATGGACTGCTGTGTTCAGACTGTTTCAGTCAGCTGGGTCAGCTTGGGTTTTGTAGAATTCACGATGGTTTTGATGAGGTAGATACTTCACATGTGCTACTATTGCAGCGTTTTATGCAATTTAAAAAGCTGAATGGAAAGTTGTTGGTTAGCTTTCGCAGACTTGGATGCAATATAATGGGTGTGCATTCAAATAAAGAGCTTCGTACATCCCCCCTGCTTTTGAAATGGGTAACTAAATGGCATCTCAGATCTGCGGATAGAAACAGGTGGAAAATGCAAAGTTAAACTTTTCAAAGCAAGCACAATTGTGCTGCCTTAAGCTTGCGTTAATGTTGTCTCTTCTGCCTAAATAGTCTGTTGATCCACCATAAAGTCACCTTCCTACTTTACTTTCCTCTTCAAAAGGCTCTTTACCATGAGGGCTCTCAGAAATTCTTGAGTAATAATGGGTGACAGAAGATCAGTGGAGTCTGTTTATATTCACAGATGTAAATTTGCTTCTTATGATACAGTGACCTGGAACCAGTAAGACTGTTCAGTTTCTCTGTTGTACCTATGTGATCTTCTTACCATTACCCTTATCCTCCCTCTCTCCTTTCCTGTGTTTTGGACACTCATACATAACCCTTAAAAACGCATGAAAACTGAATATCACGTATTTATTCACAAGATTAAAAATGACAGATACTCACATTCTCATAGCATCAGGGCCTCTGGTCTTAACATCTTCATGAGAGATGACATGTGTACTCCATCTAGTACACAAAGGCTATTCTCATTGTTGGCCTCTATGTAGCAAATTACTATGCTGAGATGTATAATTGAGCACTATCTAAAATACCATGTATACCATGCGGAAAGTAGTGTTACTGTAAAGAATGGGCTCAGAGGCAGGAATTTTGGGGTTGCAATACCAGCTGAGCTGAAGATTCATCAGGTCTGTAGAAGACATCCATTAGCTTTGCTAAACTGGTGATTTACCCTTTAGCATGCTGTGTGTGCATGGGGGGTTTTGTTTCGGTTTGGACAGCATATTATAATGTGTCTGCAAATTTTAGGACACACAGTAAAACTACTTGATGTGAGTTACCTGCATCAATCACTTCATCTACAGCTACCTGGCTGGTACTTTGTTTTCAGCTATTAGTCTTGCCAGGTTTTGCCACAACTTAGTGCGTTAACTCCTGGCCTGTTTCAAGCACATATATACAGTATGATCCAAGTTTTAGCTCTTTCCTGGGGTTTGGTTTTATTGCTGAATCAGATAAAATACAAAAGCTCCAGCCATGTTTTCTCAGAGGAGCTTTCCTGGAGTTTTCTTTTGTCCCAGCCTTTCCTACCTCAAAGGAGCAGCTGGGATAGATGCTAAAATGACTTGCCTTTCATGATAGGTTATCATTAATCATTACATACTTTCTGTGCAGAGTTTGACATTTTTATTGTAGAATAGCTGAACAAGAAACATAGTCTCATGTTGTTTTGCCACTTAGAAATCAACTAGGATTTGAAGGAGGAAAACTTCCCTGTCAGAGCTTTTGGGTGTGGTGCAGAGTGTGAAGCAGTTAAATATAACCTTATTTCAACAGAAAATGCAGAAGACTAATACATTTTGTCTCTTGATATTTGGTGCTCCAGTGATGAAAAGGAGCTGTGTGGTTGTTCCCTGCCACCTGAGAGGTGACATGAAGCTCTGATACTCTCAGGGAGGGGATCAGCACTGTATCACCTTCAGGTGGTCCTCTTCCCTGGGCAGTTCTGCGGGAAGGAGACCTTCTTTGCTTTGAACTTTAGCAGCAGCTAAAGTGTAGAAATGAAATTGGGAAAGTGCATCTGTGTGACAGTAAAGATGATATCATGCCTCAGAGCAGTTTCTGTTCTGCTCAGCTTTCAGACAGTTTGCAGGCATTTTCCCTCAATCTGTGAGCCTTTATTATGCAGCTCCTTTAGCTGGAATTTGTGCAAAATGATGCGAAATCTCCACCTCTGATGATATGTGTCAAAACACTGTCAGACGGGTTTTATGTGAACAGCAAGTGATTTTTTTCTGAAGTCTGTTTTCAGAACTATCTCACATTCCTAAATTCCCACTTCTTATTTTTAATGGAAAACATTTTCATTTTTCTACTCAAACCTGCTTAGAATGTAAGCAGTGGAAAAGAAGTCTTGATTAATATGTTTTTATAATATTTTCAGCCATTTCTTGTACCCAGAATGGCTACATTATCTTTTCCAAGTAATAGAGCACTTGGAAGGATATTCACTAAATCTGGTAAGAGCAGCAAATTCTAAATGATTACATGTGTGGTTTGTAAGAAAACATTTTTGTGACCCTGCATGACTGATTTACACGTAAGGGTCCTGGATCTGCAGAGTGCTTAGTGATCTCCTTTTGATTAAGTGAAATGCATGAGCAAGTTGCTTAAATTAAAGTGTTTGAGTAGGTCCTTTGAAATGAGTGAGATTGCTGGCATGTTTCACTTCCTTTTTGAAGTGTAACCACAGTACAGAACCTTGCAGGACTGAGCCTATAGGAACCAAGTCATGATTACTGCAGCAATTGTAACTTTGCGTTTTGTATCTTCTGTAAATTTAAAATCCCACCTTCTGTTTAAAGTTGTATTACCAAGTCTTTTTATTTCATGCCAATATATATATATATCAAAGGCATCTTCTGGCACAGAGTATGAGAATTTTGCCTTCACAAAATGAAAGTAAGATCTGCCTTTAATCTCTATGTGTCAGTTTAAATTTCTGATACTCTGTGAAAAGAGCTAATCAGAAGGTGTAATCTCTCCTCCTGTGACCCTAGCTGCCACTGCTGTGTTTGCTGAAGGTTATTTAGTTTTACATTCGGTGCACAAAGGATGGCAGGTTTCGTAGCCCTTTTATAGCAGCTGATAACATGCACTTTGGAATCCTTGATAACTACGGGCTGTATGAACACCCAGCAGATGCATGTTCAGTAGTCATGTTGTAGGAAGTGTTAAGGTTTGAGTGAATGACAATATTGTTGGTTTTGCCAAACAATTGAAGGAGTGAATTTGGCAAATGTAGGAAGGATTTTTTTTATATAGGGAACAAATGATTTTGAGACACAGTAGTAGTTTTGGCAATTCTTTTGTCATAGGAAACCAGTCATTGTAATGTTGTTTGGAAAGTAGCAACACTGCAGTTGTAAAGCTCTTCCTTGCCCTGTCCGCTGAAGAAAAAGTGTCACAGAGGTTTGGAAAGGAAAATGTATGTATCATGTTTTAACATTTTTGCTAGGACAGATTTATATTCCTTATCAAAAAGTGAATACTTTGAAAGGAGAAGATTTAAAATTTAACATTTAGTGTTCAAGCAGACACCATTATGCCCTGTTGATGTATTA